TATTCAATAGAATATTTCTTCTACGGAACCCAGTTTTTGTCCCTATATGGCTTTTATCCCTGGTCCAAGTTCTACTCTTAGGGAGCCCGAAACATCACATTTACAATTCAGCTGCCTGTAGTGGACCAAGTGGTTGTACTCCATACAGAATGGCTGCAGCGGGCACACAACTGGACATGTGTTTGGACTAGGGGTAGATGGTCTTCAGAAGAGCCTAGTACTTCCAAGTCACTTAGCCTGCCTGTTCCCAACCACCTGCTTGTGGAGAGTCCTGACTCTTCATCTCTTTTCTCTTGAGGAGAATCTGGTCTTCCTAATTCTTCTGCTATGACTCTAATGACACTGAAGTGTGGCATACGCTTGGGCCTAAGAGTATCTGGGTTTAGGAAGTCCTGAAACCCTGCTTAGTAACACATAACTAGGAAACGGTTGAGATGGTTTGANTGGGGAGGGGGGTCATCTTGGGGTTGGGCAGGGGTACAGTGGGAAGGGGATTAAACAGAGTGGGGAGCAGAGAACTCCAGGAACCATCCATCCCTTTGTTTATTTGGTCACATTTATGAGCAGCTATAAAATGACTTATTCACAGATAGTTAGATTTTCAGCAGGGCGCTGTGCCTGGAATGCTTTTGCCCTAAGGCAGAGGACTGAATACGATGATTGGGGAGGGTGCTCCCAGTCTGAGGAGCCTCCAGCTCAGTCTCCTGCAAGGTGGTGAAGGACAGAGGCAGCCAGCTGGCTGTACAGGTTGTGTTGAGTGATATCTTCTTCCCCATTCCAGGAACCAGGGAGCTTAGCCTTCATTTGAGGGATGGGAATAGTGAGTCTCTGGAAAGAAAAACTCATGAAAAAGCAGCAAGAGAGATTTCAGAGAGACTCTGGAAACAACTTCCTGTTAGGGTGAGTCAGTGAGGGAGCCAGGGAAGATCCTAAATCCAAGGCTGAGGTCACAGTTGTCACTGCACTCACCACCCCAGGGTGACGAGGGCGATGCATTCCTGGTTCAGCAATTTTGCTTCAGGGACACCTTGGCCTTTTTGTTCAAAATCTGTATGAAA